TATTGTGATTTTATTGGCCAAACCTAAATTGATGTACATGAAGTTACACGAAACTGATGTACAAAAATCATTCCTCTATTTTTTTTTACACATTTTATACTATTTTTAAAAGCTCGGGTAGCCTAACTTTCTATGAAACAAGAGTAAATTTAACGGATGGATTAATGCTTTGTGAATCTTACAACTTTTTTTAGCAACCTGATTGGCCGATTTGCTAAAATTCGAGATACGATTGGTTGATAACCATGTGTAACTATATATGAATAATCTAGGTCGCTCCTGTTCTAGGTACTAGTAAGAAATCCTCAAATATAACTTGTATTTATTATCATACTATTTTTACACGAGTATAAAGTATAACCGTTTTATTTCTATTCTATGTTAATATACAAGCCGGGTTTTATAAATATTAAGAAGAATATTCATTAGATCACATGTATTGAATTATAGGCCTTTATGTATGAAGACATTGACTTGAGTAAATAACTACATATTAGATGTTTAAAGTCTTTGAATTTCATGCTTTTTAGGTGAAATATAGCAAAGGTAAATTTAAACAAATAATATAAACAAAAAATAAGAATACGAACAATGTTTCAAATTTATAAATATGAAAATAGACTATTTTTGGGCGAACTTAATACCATTTTAATTAGATTTTCCTTAAATAAAAGAAAACCAAGGTTAATAGATTGAAAGATGTTAAAGAAAGATTATAATAAAAATAATGTTCTAACTTAAAATAATGAGACTACAAGTTTCTCGAGAATTTTCTTGAGTACAGCTTTGTCATTAGAATTTGCAGGATAAAGGTTAACTGTAAGGCCCAAATTTTTTAGAAAGTCTCTGTCATCCATATGTTCATATCTCAAAGGATGTCTTGAACAAGCAAAACTCCAATTTTTCCAATTGCTCCAATAATTACATCTGTAGCATCCCATATCAGTATCAGTGTCAATATACATGCGGCCACCACAATCAGCATGCTCCCAATAGCCTGGGTTTTCGTATTTTATACAACCAGTTCTGCTTACGGGGCAGGACATGTAAAGATCAATTTTTTGTACCATTTTGACAATTTGAGTTCATCTATGAGAATGTTTCAACATTTATATAAAAAATCTTTTATTCACATTTAAAGAATTGATTACATTAGATTAGTATATGTTATTGCGCCTCGTTGGCAACAAATGATCGGAATGGCGTCATTCCGATTCGTGTCAAAACTTTATTAACTGATATATTCCCAGGTTCTTTTATACTTCTGTACTATTTTTTCAAATTAAAGTTACGTATTTCATAAAGTTTAGCTTTACTACAATCACAAACTTTTTTTTCCTTAAAGATTGGGACCGGGTTTAAAAATTCTAGTTTATCACATGAAAATTCGAGTTTATCACGCCAAAATTCGAGTTTATCACATCAATCATTAATGATTTATGTGATAAACTCGAATTTTGGTGTGATAAACTCGAATTTTTAAAACCGGTTCCAATCTCTAAGCCGACTACTTGGTTTCCGTAACTTTAATAGTTTAAAATTTCGTATAAAGCAAAAAAAAAGACATATAATCAAGAATAACGGGTTTTCATTGTGATTGGCCAATCTTTGTTGGTCATACTATAATATCGAAAAAATTTTATTGGCTAATCGAGATTTATTGAAATTCTAAATCATCACGAATAAAAAAGACTAATATGTATAAAAATGATTATAGATGTGATTAAATTAATACTGACAGAAGTTTTTACTACGAATCAAAAAAAGAGACGAACCAAATTAATACAAAAATAAATGATTTAAATCTATTCTAGAATTTTAATAATTAATAAAAAATGCTTTTCTAATATCAAGCCGGTCTTTAATGTATTTAATAATCGTTACAGTACTGCTACTTCGCTTTAACTCTCTTCACGAAATTAATAAACATTATAACCCACAACTTCATGTTATTAACCTATATCATAGTCAAGTTTCTTTATTAGTTTGGATATGAAGAATAAATTTTCACAAATAAAAGAGAGTATAAATTGCTGAGTTTAATTAGTTTATTGCACCTATAGGCTAAACACAAACGTTTAAACATACTTCTCACCCAATTTCCGAATTACCTTAATAGTTTATAAAACGAGGCATATACTTTAAGATTTTTTTGGTCTACAATTCGTTTTAATTGGTTTAATATGTAAAAATTATCGGTGTAACATCCCGATCTTCCAGCCAATCAGAACACAAGCACGCTATGCTATATAATTTGTAATCAAAAAGAAATATAAAAACTCCGGATAAACCCGAATCTGAGATCTGAGAAATAAGCTAGAAAAAATAGTATAGAAGTATAAATAAGAACCGATGAATAATAAGCATAATTAGTCGAGAACGTACGTACCTGCATTTCAAATTTTATCTAGTTATCATTAAAATTAGGTTGCCGTTATTATATTTGAGTGTTCTTATATGCCAAATTCAGTATTGGCAGCAATAGATGAATAGAATAATAGAATAAAGCAATAGAATTTAGAATAAAATAAAGTTTTTTTTCGATAGAACAAAAAATTGCCAACAGGATTATAATTAGACGCTTATATAGCAATAAATGAATAGAACAATTGAACAATAGAATAGAGCAACAGATATTAGAATAGAATAATAATTTTTATAAATAAAACAAAAAATTGACAACACTGGTCAAATTGTATCCCAGACATCTTTTATCAGTGCACCACGATAGGTTTAGACTGCTGTCTTCCATATTTTTCGTGCTTTTCATTTCTTTTTGTTTTCCGGAGTGACGTTCATGATCTGCATAATCCAAATCTGACGAGTAGCAATTATGTCCAAGTATTGATAATAAGTCACGTAATAATTTTCATGAGAAGTGATTAACAAAGTCAATCAAAGTAAGTGAGAAATGATTAACTAAAAAAAATTGTAATTACTGTGCCTGAAACAAGTATTGAGAATAAGTCACGTAATAATTTTCATGAGAAGTTATTAACAAAATCAATCAAAGTAAGTGAGCAAAGCAAGTGAGAAGTGATTAACAAAGTCAATCAAAGCAAGTGAGAAATGGTTAACAAAGTCAATCAAAGTAAGTGAGAAGTGATTAACAAAGTCAGTCAAAGTAAGTGAGAAGCAATGAACAAAATAAAAATCTTTTATTTTGTTCATTAAATCATTTATCATTACAACTTTGAATGAGTTACTTGAATTGGAAGTATAAGAAATTATATTTGTTTTGTAAGCGTTCTTGTAGAAATAATACTCATTTTTTATTGGTATACGAAAATAAAATCTTGAAATATATAAACACATTTTTCGTCTTTAGTATTTTTTTTTTTTTCTTAAAAGATTTGACGTCAACTAAAACTTTGATATCAAAATGTTCCCTATTAATAATAATAAATTTACGACAACAGGAATGGCTCAACTCCAAGGTGTCATTTATGCTCAAGCTTGGGATTATCAATTATTGCTTGACAGCTTGAGCTATGAACTAGAAGGTGTTGAAGCATATATCACGAAAACAAACAAGTATCCTAAAAAAAACCAATTGTACGGGACTACTAAAGGAACCATTAAAGATCACAGTGGATCTGCGGAGGATTACTATGATACAGCTTTAACCAATTTATTAACTTTGTCCGGAATGGTTAAAGCAACACCTTTTCCAGAAGTTAAAGATTATGCGCTGGTAGAATTCTATAAATGGATTGATTATTCGAAGATAACTGAAAAAAATTGTTCGCCTGATTTAGGTCGTCTCTTAATTGGTGTGCATGAGTCATTGAAGGGTGAAGGAAGAAAAATTTTGGATGATACCAAAACGTATCTTGCAAATATAGAACAACCTCCGAATGAGTCTTTCATTAACGCTTTTAGTGCTACTCAAAAGTTTGCACATGAAACAAGAGAAATGAAGGAAAGTCTCAAGGATCAAATATTCGACCAATCTCCAAGATTTCGTGGTGATAGTGAAAAAGGGAAAAGAATTTTTGAAATGATTGAAATGAAATATATTGAAATTTATTTTAGTAATTATTCTTACTCGCAACAAGAGAACCAAAAAAAACCCACCAGTATGTATGGAGGTTATAACAACCTTTTGCAGTGAAAAAATTAATCGAAAGGCTTTTTAGACTACAGTTTTTTTTTCCTTATTAGAATAACATTCTTTAAACATAAATATGTAGTATTATTATTTTTTTTATTGAAGTATTAAATAAAAGTCGATTAACATTAATGTTTATAATAGTAAAACCAATTTATCAGGAATTTATTGTATGTAATCATATTTTATTGCTGGTACAAATAATCATAACAATTATAATCATTCTTATCTTTCGGAGTATAGGGGCTTTAATTGTGATTGGATAATTTTTGTAGATAATCCCGCGTGATATCGTAAAAATTTCTTTGGTTAATCGAAAATTTAAGCTTTAACTAAACGTCACGAATAAAGAACTTCTATATATAAAATAATTATATCTGTGACGAAATCAATACCAGCAGAAATTTTTACCATTTAAATTATAATAACTTTTAAATAAAACTGTAACCTTACCACAGGCAAAATTCTGGTAATTCAAAATTTTATTTTAAAAAAATCCCATCATATACGAATCAAAATGAAAAAAAGTGAACCAAGAACGAAAAATACAAGAAATAAATGTTTAAACTCTATTATAGAATGTTAATAACTAATAAAGAAAAACTTTTAGTGCTTATTCCAATACCCAACTGTCACTATTTTTATTTATATACAATTACAGTGCCACTACTTCGGTTTAACTCTTACGAATTCTATAAATCTCATACGTAAATTATACACAATCAAGTTTCTTTATTAGTTAGGCTGCGAATAATAATTTTTCACACAATTTAAATTGCCAAGTTTAACGATTTATAGGCTAAACTTAAACGTTCAAACATACCTCTCATCTAATTTCCGAATTACCTCGTGGTTTACCGAATTACTTTGATGGTATATAAGGTAAAGTTTGAACTTTCGAATTTTGTTTGTCTTTCCTTCACCTGATTCATATTCGTGGCACCGAATCCATTCTTGTGACAGCAAATCGTTACTTTAATAAGACTTTAATATGAGATGGTCTTCAAAATCAACCAATCATAATAAAGCCCGTTATGCTGAATAGGGTAGTGACCTATATGATCTTTATGACCTGTCATAGATCATTTGGTCATAACGAAGATTAATATGACTTATGACCTTTTTTTAATATAGTAAGAATCATAGTAAAAATTCTTTTCATTAGCATTTAATATGACCAGATGATTATGACCAAAAAGTCATCATTATATGACCAAGGTCATATAGAAAAAAATAGGATGACATGGGTCATCGGCCAACACTAGTACAGTAGTATAAACTCATACAGGGGGATCCCCAAAATTCCGGGTCGGAACCATCGGATTTGGCCGGCATTTAGTAATATAAGTTAACCATTTCTGGGCCAAAATTATCAGCTGGGCAGCTTTAC